TTTGAAAATTTTAATTACAATTTGAGACTAAACATTTCAGTCGGAAAAAGTCAGCTAAAGGCGACTAAAGTAATTTTTTGTCACTGAAAGTAAATTTTTGGCAACTAATACTTTAGTCGCCAAAGAGAAATTTTTTTTATTTTTTATTTTCCATTTGGTGACTAAATATTTTAGTAGCCAAAAATCAATATACAGTGACTAAATTTTTTTTTTGTCGCTGAAAGGAAGTTTTTGGCGACTAAAACTTTAGTTGCCAAAGGGAAAAAATAATTTTTTGTATTTTCCATTCGGAGACTATATATTTTAGTAGCCAAAAATCAATATATGGCGACTAAATTTTTTTTTTTATCGCTAAAAGTAAGTTTTAGGAGACTAAAACTTTAGTCACCAAAGAGAAAAAATAATTTTTTTTATTTTCCATTCGGCGACTAAATATTTTAGTAGCCAAAAGTCAATATAGCGACTAAGTTTTTTTTTTTGTCGCCAATTCTGGCATTTTTAGTGACTAAATTTTTTTTAGTCGCCAATAATGAATATACCCCGACTAAAAAAAATTAGTAGCTAAATATTTTACTTTTTGCGACTAAAAAAAATGTTAGTCGCCAAGTCCATAACTTTTGGCGACTAAATGTTTTGTAGTCGCCAATTTTGGTCGCCAAAGGTGCATTTTGTTGTAGTGAATGTCTAATGGCACCAACCTATATTACCTTGACTTTGGAAGCAATAAATTTATTGGAAGAGTGCCTTATTTAGAAAATATGCACAATCTTGCATGGATAAACTATCAAAATAATAATCTTAGTTGGAAAAGCTGATGACTTGAATTTTCTCCACTAATTGGTCAATGCCACAAATTTGAACATTCTAGATCTGAGCAAAAACTTTGGAGGGGTGTTTCCTGAATCAATCGGCAATTTCTCCACTAATCTTGGTCAACTTCTCTAGCAGAACAATAAAATAGTTGGAAGCATACCAACGAGAATGGGGAATTTGGTCAATTGGCATCTTCTTGACATGTCAAACAACCAATTCACAGGTAACATTCTTGCTGATATTGGGAAGCTTCAAAAGCTAGAAAATTTGTATCTCTTAACTAATAAATTCTACGGGGACATCCCATGGTCTTTTGGAAATTTGACTTCTTTAATAGCTCTTAGATTAACTACAAATAATCTTCATGGCAGCATCCCATCAAGTTTGGGGAAATGCCAATATTTGGTGGAACAAAGTCTTGAGCAAAACTATCTTAGTGGTACCATACCCAGAGAACTTATCAGCCTCTCATCATTATTATATCTAAGCATGTCTCATAACAATTTGATTGGTTCCCTTTCAGTGGAAGTTGGAAATTTAAAAAATTTACAGCAATTAGATCTTTCCAAGAATATGATGTCTGGTGAAACCCCCAATACTATTGGTAGCTGTGTAAAACTGAGATTATTATATATGGAGGACGACAAATTTTGGGGAATCCTTCCATCATCTTTAAGTTATTTGAGATGTATGGAGGAGTTAGATCTCTCTCGCAATAATTTATCAGGAAAAATACCAGATTACTTGGAGGGTTTTGTCTTCTTACAAAAATCTCACAATAATTTATCAGGAAAAATACCAGACTACTTGGAGGGTTTTGTCTTCTTAAAAAAATTAGATCTATCATTCAATGATTTTGAAGGTGATGTACCAAAAAAAGGTGCATTCAAGAATGCAACTGCAGTTTCTGTTAAGGTAAACAACAAGCTCTAAGGTGGAATACTTGAATTACAACTGCACAGTTCCAACTCCAAAGGGTTCAGAAGGAAAAGATTTCTCTCGCCTTGAAATTAATAATTCCCACATCTGTTGGGCTTCTAGGACTAATTTGGATGTTTTGTTTCCTATATTTTTGTTGGTTCAGAAAGATGCCAAAAGTACCCTCTATGACATTTTTAGCGAACTCATTTTTGAAATTGTCCCATCAAAGTCTACTTAAAGCTACTGATAACTTTTCTCTATCCAATGTGATTGGTGTTGGTAGTTTTGGTTTAATGTACAAAGGAATTCTTAGTCAAGGTGAAAAGCTTGTAGCACTGAAGGTACTAAATCTTCAACATCAAGGTGCTTCCAAGAGTTTCTTTGCTGAGTGTGAGGCCTTAAGGCACATCAAACATCGGAATCTTGTCAAGGTTCTCACAGCATGCTCAAGTGTTGACTATCATGGTAACGATTTCAAAGCTCTTGTTTATGAGTTTATGGTCAATGGTAGCCTAGAGGATTGGTTACATGCAAATGAGAATGAAGATGAGCCACACGAGTACTCAAGGAATTTAGACCTTCTACAAAGGTTAAATATTGCCATTGATGTTGCTTCTACAATTGATTATCTTTACAATCACTGCCTGAACCAATAGTTCATTGCGATCTCAAGCCAAGCAATGTTCTTTGATATAGGCCGAAAGGTACCACATTGAGGCCGCTTACATTACATTTATAGTCTTTGAATTTTGTTTATTTGGTGGAGATGATGTGTTTCGTGCACTTGTACAGATTTGGCAAGCAACACGCAAATTCAAGTAAAAAGTGGCGCAAAAGCAGATTCTCTGTATGAGTAGTGACAATTCCCAATCTACCACCTCACCGTACGTGCGGCCCACCACCACTCGAGTGGAAATTAGGGCCGCTTGAGCGGCCCACCTTGGGTTGCGTGCGTGAAAATTTTAGTCTATTTTGCTAGGAATAAAAGGAAGAAAAGAGGCTGCTCTTAGGGTTCAAAAATATTTTCAAACAAACGGAGGGGCTAGGGTTTGGAAAGAGATTTCTCAACCTTCAAGTGCAATTTTCATGGAGGCTTCTTCTTCTTTTACTTCTTTCCACGCCTCCATGAGTGGCTAAGCTCCTATTTCTAGGGTTTTGATGAAACCCTAACCAAGTAAATAGGTTTTCTTTTTGGTTTTGTTTTATGTAATGGTTTGAACAATTGTATAGTTCTCAAGAAGTTTTCAAATATAATTCTCCATTATTTCTTCAAGTATTCTGCTTTCTGTGATTGTTGAATGCTTTCCATACAATGGTTTTCTATTATTTCATGTTCAAGGTATGAGGCGAGCCATACTACGAGGGACGAGTCGTGTTACTACCCTAGTTTAGAGCTAACGACTTGTACTACTTGAGATGGTTTGTGCCTATACATTGAACGCATTAATTCTCTTGATAAATGGTTCGAGCTTGTAGTTGCGAAGTATTATTTAGTTCAAACCGTAACATAATTGGGTCTTAAATTGAAGCCTTATTTATGTAACTAGTGGTGAATTCATTACCCTAGGTTTTTCCCAAAATCAATAATTTCATCTTTATTTATAATTTCTAGTTTATTCGCTTTGTTTAATTTAATTATCATTAGGTTATGAACAACCATCTCTTTCATCAAAATTAATTTAGGAATTTAACAATTAAATTAGTTTAATTTCCCAGTTGTCCCTGTGGATCGATACTTGGACTTACCGTTATTCTAAGGAATTTCGTATAGTTTAGTATTTATTTTTGGTGTGTGAAATGACCATCGAATTTTGGCGCTGTTGCCAGGGACAACGAAATGACTGCACAAATAGGTGACTTTGGGTTAGTAAGATTCCTTCTAGAAACCACCTATGACTGTTCTGCAACTCAATCAAGTTCTATCAGTATAAGAGTATCTCCTTGTTATGTTGTTCCAAGTAAATTAGTGTACCTCTTAGGCTCTTCTATGTTTTCCTTTTTGTCATCACTAACCAATAGAATCTAGAGTTGATTCACACAACCATGATTCCACTCTTTTAGTCACTGAAGTAGAACTGATGGTTCTTTGCTTTCGTTCCACACAACGCACTATAATCAAATTTTTATTTATTTATTTATTTATTTATTATGATAAATAAGTATATGGACTTTATTGAGAAAGCATCAAGATGATGTAAATAATACAAAAACCCCAAAGGGGACAAAACACACCCTTTAGCCTATAACCTCATCCAAAAACTCTAAAAAACCAGACATATGCGGATCAATTTTCATCTCTAACCAACTATACAAAACAACTAGAAGACGACTGTCAAGCCAACTAACTATGCAATGAATCTCTTGAAATGTATGCCTATTACGTTCCAACCAAACTAACCACATCAAACAAAAAGGGACCAAATACCACACACAGCGCCGTCAACGACCAACCCGAGCTTCGCGCCAACTCCACAACATGTCTACCACCCTCCACGGCTGAACCCAAACAAACCCAAAAAGAGAGAAAACAAAGCCCCACACACAGAACACCACTGGACAATGCAAGAACAAATGATCCACAGACTCTGCATCTTCACAACACATACAACACCGATTTACTAGAATGTGACCACGCTGCATCAGGTTATCAATTGTGAGATTTCGAAAGCCGTCGTCCACATAAAGAAAACCACCTTCGATGGAACTCTTGGCACCCAAACACTCCTCCAAGGAAAATCCCATCTCCCCTCCCCCACCAAGCTCCCATAGAATGACGAGACTGAAAAACACTCCTTAGCCCAACATTCCACCCCAAAACATCCTCCCCCAGCCCAGTCACACCCAACCCATACAAATAACCGCATAACTCCACCATCTGATCAACCTCCCAATCTTGAACCTGTCGCTGTAACGTAATGTCCCAAACCACCCCCTCCCTGCCCCTAAAATAAAACGCCACCATAGCCTCCAAATCCCTCACAATGCGGAAGATCAAAGGGAAACGAGCTGCCAGCAAATCCACACCACACCACCTATCCTTCCAAAAATGCACCCTCACCCCATCACCTACCTGAAAACCCACCCGATCCCAAAACTCCCGTCTCCCCAACCAAATCCCTTTCCATAACCCACAACCATGAGAACCCATAACCATCCTTGACCCCCATTCCCCTTGAGCTACCCCATACTTAATAGCCATCACCTTTCTCCACAGTCGCTCTGGCTCCCAAGCAAAGCGCCACAACCATTTCCCCAACAACGCCATATTAAAAGTCACTAAACTCCTCACCCCCTGCCACTTTCGGTTGACAGATCCAGCCCCAATCCACCAAGTGATAACTAAAATCATCACCCCCACTACCCCACAGGAAATCCTTTTGTAACTTCTCAATCCGTCGCGCCACAGACACCGAAATAACATACACAAACATAAAGTATGTTGGGATACTACTCAGCACACTCTTGATCAGATTCAACCTTTCCTCTTTCGAAAGATATTGCCGTTGCCAACTGGCTAACTGTCGTTGAATCCATTCCACAACCCCATCCCACACCCCTTTAGCCTTAAATGACGCCCCCAATGGCAAACCTAAATAGGTCACCAGCAAAATGGACACCTTAGAACCCAATACCGCCGCTAGCACTGGCAATCCCTCCACCTTACCCTCTGGAATCAGCTTAGACTTCCTCAAATTTCCCCGAAGGCCTGAGATAGCCTTGAAACATAACAAAGCACATTTCAAGTAACCCAATTGTTCCACCACCGCCCCACAAAAGATTAGCACATTATCTGCATGTAACAAACGGGAAACACTCATAGATGCTCCTGTGGGAGACTCCACCACAAAACCTTCCAGGAAGCCTTCATGACCTGCTCTTGCCAACAATTTGCTCAATGCCTCCATGACTAAAATAAACAGTAGTGGCGACAAAGGGTCTCCCTAACGAAGACCTCGATATGTTCGAAAGAACCTCGCTGGAGTACCATTAACCAAAATCGAGAGCCGCATAGTAGAAATACAGAACTGAATTCAGCGACACCAAGTCTCCCCAAAACCCATATGACCCAAAACATACAATAGAAACTCCCATTGCACATTGTCATAGGCCTTCTCTATGTCCAGCTTACAAATCACACCAGGTTGCCGCTGCCTAATCCGGAAATCCACACACTCATTAGCCACCAAGACTGCATCTAAAATCTTGCGACCCCCTACAAAAGCATTTTGAGATTCAGACACTACTGTCTGCAAAACCCGCGAAGTCTATTTGCCTCACCTTAGCCAACAGTTTATATACACTCCCAAGCAAACTGATTGGCCTAAAGTCTCTGATTTCCTCAGTCCCTCCTTTCTTTGGAATCAAAACCAAAAAAGTCGCATTAACCCAGTCACAAAAAAAGCCTCCAGTGTCGTCATCACATCCACCTTAACCACACTTCAACAGTGCTGCAGGAAGCCATAGTAAAGCCATCAGGGCCTGGAGCCTTATTCCCACTTACGGTCTGTAAAGCCTGAAATACCTCTTCCTCCGTAAAGGATAGCTCTAAGGCCACCATATCGTCAGCCGAAATCATATCAAAATGCACCCCTGCCATCCCTGGTCGCCACTCGCTTTCTTGCGGCCGAAACAAATTCTGATAAAAACCACAATCCCCCCCTTGATCTCCTCTTCATTGACTAGGTCTCGCCCATCCACCCTCATGCAACTAATATGATTCATCTGACGGTAAGCATTAGTCATCCGATGAAAGAACTTTGTGTTACGATCCCCATCCTTTAACCACAAACACCTAGACATTTGTCTGAAACTCACCTCCTCTAAGTGTGAAATACGGACATAATCATGTCTAGCCGCCTCCTTCCTATCAACATCATCTGGTAATAAGCCCCCTGCAGCCTCTAACTCATCCAAAGAAGATAGTAAGGACACCATTGCCTTTCTCTGACCCTCTAGTCGGCCGAAAACCTTCCTATTTCAACTTTTCAGATCCTCTTTAAGCAATTTCAACTTCTGTGCCAACATGCAACTAGGCGACCCTGTAACTGCATAAGAATTCCACCACCCCCGGACCATCTCCAAGAAACACTCCGATTGCAACCACATGTTCTCAAAACGAAAAGGTGTTGGGCCACTACCAAGGCCTCCACTCTTGAGTAGTAGAGGCCAATGATCAGACATCGGACGAGGCAATCGAATTTGAACAACAACCAAAAAATGTTCCTCCTAGTCGCTCAAAATCAGAAATCAATCAATCCGAGACAAACTCTGCCCATTCGACCAAGTGAACCTGCCTCCTTGAAGCGGCAAGTCAATCAGCTACTTTTCATCAATGAAAGAGCAGAAACTTTGCATGGAGCCCAACTCCTGGAAACTCCCCACCTTTTTGGTTGGCCACCTCATCATGTTGAAATCACCCCCCACACACCAAGGCACTGACCAATGAAAAGCCACAGCCTCTAATTTTAAAAAGAACTCCCCTCGATCCCCATTCCGCACCGGGCCGTACACCCCCGTGAACACCTAATGGAACTGATCCGTCACTTACCGAAACAAAGAAGATAGTGAAAAACTGCCCAACTCGTCCTCTTCCTTCATAACCACCCTCGAATCCCAACAGAGCAGTACACCACCCGCCGTGCCCGCTGCCAGCAAATGTAGCCATTCTACAAATCTGTCTATCCAAATTTCACGCACCACCTTTGTCCCTAACACCTCCATCTTTGTCTCATGTAAGCACACCACATTAGCTTTTGCACTTCGTAAGACTGTCTTCACTACTACCCCTTTGTCTTATCATTCAAGCCCCACTCATTCCAAAACATAATTTTTAACTCCATTTCAACAACAAAGGATCCCCTCAACGTCTTCGTGAATCACAATCAGTCCTTGCTCCACTCTGTCCATAATTGATGGAACACACTAAGTTAACTCCCATTTCCCTTTACGACTAGTATCTGCCACTATAACCATTTCTTTACTAGGAGACCCTTTTCGTCATGATGCCTCCACTACTGAAAATAAACATAAAACTTCCTCCTCATACCCTTCGAATGAAAGTCCCAATAATCGACTGACCCTAGTTATATGTTCCAGCACCCAATCTGATACATCCTCAGCTGTAGGTATCCCATTCCTGCCCAAGACTGTGTTGTTCTCAAACGGCACCTAGGTGGGGCCTAGCAAACCGTCCTAGTCGCCACCTTCCATAGCCAATGGTTGTAGTATCAGCGCCAATGTATCGCGACCCTCTATTTCTGCGTCAACCACGACTCCCCATGACAGACCATCCCCTTATGCAAGCCTTGTTTGCCTCTTCCCATTGCCAAAATTAGCAAACTCATCGCGAGAACTTAGTCTGACAGCCCTTATCACTCCACACACCTCAACATCCAGATGACCACATTACCCCTCTCTCAATGCTCGACGTCACCGCCATCTGACTTGGACCCATTTCCATACCGACGATGCCAAGGCCCTCGGTAGGATGCACTAACCTCTCCGATGACCTATTTCCATGATTTGCCGGCGATCCGTCCTCCTTTGTCGGCGATGACCCCCATTCTATTCTCGCCGATGGCTATGTCGTCGTGCCCGCCTTTGGCTAGTGGTCCCCCACACTAGTGCACAAAGATTTGAAAATCCATCTCACTGTTGCAGCCATCTCCTTACCCGCATGTAGTGAAATGGGCCCAAATAGTGGGAGCCCCAGCCCATCCCCAGGGTTATGACCCAATTCATTGGCCTTAAACCCTAAAGAAGTTGAGCCCAACATAACATCTTTCTCCACGGGCCGCTTGTTTTCCCCACAATAGGACTTAATTTTATTACCTTGGCCCACTGGGCCCAGACCCAACGACTGCTTGCCTTGGGCCTACCAACCCTAAAACCTCATCTGTCTCTTAGAAGGAAACAATCCTTGATCAAGCCTTTGAGTGTCCCCAAATCCCTGAAAATCTAGTCTACCCCCAAATCTCCTCCAGTCCCATCGATCACGCATCCAATCACGACCTTCATTCTCCTACCGCAGTCCTATCCTCGTCCCACTAATGGCAGAATAGTTTCCACCGTCGGCCCTTCCTCTAGCCAAATAGGGATCAAAAAGGTCAAAGTTTCCCAGCGCACCAAAACCCTAGATGGGATGCAACCACCCTTTTTGACCCGCAATCGGACCACCCCAAGGTCCATTGATAGTTTGTCTACCTCCACAAAACCGCTGCATCGGTCGCCGATAACACGGTACATTCTCTCGCTGTGGAGATGAATGGGTAGGCCCACCACCCTCACCCAGGCATTAGGCCCTTATTCTGACACTTCTGTCGTTTGACACAAATTGTCGATGACCACCCTACCGAATTCAAATCACACCCTGCAATCACCCACCGCCGTTGTATCATTGTCTCGGCCTGTCGTCGTGTCGGTAGCACAAACAAGTAATCTTAGCCCCCAATTGGTCGAATTTCCACTTCCCCGAACTCCTTCCACCACCGCCTGACCCAATCTATCATGGCTGAGAAACTAACATCATTCTCCCCCCTGAAACCCACCCTACCCACTAACGCCCTGTTCAGTAAACTGAACCACCCTTCCTCCACCACATCCTGCACCACCTCAACTCCGCCGATAGGGCCAATTGTCCCCTTATGCGGTGAAGAAACCCTTTTCACAGTCATCAACCCCTTACCCCTATTACCCCCACCACCCTTTGACGCCCTTTCAGCCCCTATAGCAAATCCTTTAATAACCAGTGCTACCCCCTCCCATCCATTCCCAAACTTCGACATAGGAAGAAAAACCTGAGTCCTTTTGCCTTCCATCATCACCACTATCTGCACTGACGATTCGCCATTCTTCTCATCGCGAATCCAGTTTTCCACACTCCGTCTAGTCCCTTCTAGTTGACCCAAAAAAGATTGGCAGTCTACCATACGGGACACTGTCCTCATCTTCATACCTTTCTGTTGTACTTCATACCCCGTCAACACCACCTCTCACAGCAGTCCTTGCCTACGCTCTACAATGGACAATTGATGATGGCCTCTCGGATCCCTAGCTGTTTTTTCAAATTCAAAAGAACGTCCTCCAAGGAAAAGGATTTGACAACGTGGTCCATTAGCTGCCTTCACTGGAAACATCCCAGGTAACTAAACCAACCCGCTGGAAATTTTATTCATAAGGAAAGTCTTACAGAGAATTTTTATATAATACCCTTATGTGCATAAATAAACTATAATCAATTTTTGGTAGCTTTTCAATTTATTACTCTCACATATAATACAATGGATGAATTAATGATTTTATAAAACTAAAACTATAAGTTTTGGGGGTATTTTCTACCATCAAAGGGTGGATGTCGCAATATTAGCAAATCTTAGTTCTTTACTTGGCATCAAGCATGAAAGAATAACATCATGAAGTATTTGCTCCTGTTTTCTTTAAGAGTAACTATTTTATAAGATGAACTCTTCTGTTGCAAATAGTCAGCCCTCCTTATGGAGTTGGTAATAAGAGTAATCCCATAAATAATGTGTAGGGACAATCAAGTCAAGCAATTAACATCTTATGTAGTATGGAGCTTATATTTGCTGCTCTGCCTTCTGGGTGGTTATGTTGTGCCTAGTGAGTTATGCTATTCTTGCAACTATTTTATGTTAGCAGGAATTTGGAAATGTAGCATTCAAAACACTAAATCTACTTATTTATTACCCTAATTTATATTATTAAGTATTTTAATGAGGAAAGAAGACAACTAACACAACACCATATCACAATCACGATAATGCAGTTTTGGTTGATTAATAGTTTGCACTGTTCCAAACTTGTTTTCTACATTTAGTTGTTTGCAGAAGTAACATTACTATTGTTTGATATGATTTTGACAAAATTTCTTTATGGTTGTATATTA